AGGAGGAGGAGGAGGAAGAGGAGGAGGAAGAGGAGGAGGAAGAGGAGGAGGAGGAAAAGGAGGAGGAGGAGGAAGAGGAGGAGGAGGAGGAGGAAGAGGAACAGGAAGGGAAGAAGGAAAAGAGAGAAGAAGGAGGAAGAGAGGAGGAGGAAGAGAGGGGGAGGAGGAGAAGAGCAGGAAGAAAAAAAAAGGAGGAGGAGGAGGAGAAGGAGGAGGAAGAGGAAGAGGAGGAGGAAGAGGAGAGGGAGAAGGACAGGGAGGAGGGCAGGAGCCCAGGCAGCTCTGGCAGGCGGCTCACTAGCTGGCTCCAGGTGCTGGGTCGCTCACAGCACCACAGGGAGAGGAAGAGGATGTGCGTCTGGACCCCAGCGCTCGGGCTGGTGACTCACATCACGTGACACTCCTTCCTCTTCCTTCCCAGGCGTTGGTCCTGCTTCCTGGGCTGACCAAGGGTACATGGGCCCTGGCCGATAAAGCCAGGACGGGTGGCCTCCTGTGAGCGGGGAGAAGCCAGGTGAGCCTGGAGCTGAAGCAGTGACCACATTGGATTGTCCTTTATTTGAGTTCACAGCGCTGGTGGCCACAGGAGGCCACAAGGGTTGGCACAGGGAGGATGGCGACTTGCCTCAGCCTCCCCCATCAAGCCTGGAAAGGGACCCAGGGCAGGGAGATGCCCCAGGCTCTCCTGAGTCTGGAGCTCTGGCCTGATTCATGGAGGAGCAGCGTGCGGGGAGCAGCACCCTGCGTTTCCGGAACTCTCCACAGCACGGCTGCCTTGACATCCCTACTGATTTCGACTCAGTGACTTTTAAAAAACTCCCTCTGTGTTGGTCCATTTCCAGCTCCTGAATGGCCTGAGACTACACCCTGATGGGACCCAGGGCAGGAGCTGGGAGGAGGATCCAGGAGAGCGGAAAGGGGCTAAAGAAATGAAGAACACCATGGGAACAGAGTGGGTGACAGACTTTATTTCAGGACATCGAGGGTACACACCTCCACAGAGGAATCAGAGAAGTTGGCCAGAGAGGGAGGGCCCAGAGCCAGCCTGGGCTGGGCCACTGTCAGTGGACAAGGCGCTCACAGCTGGGGGGTGCCCAGGCTGTGGGGACTCCACTGTGTGCTGCATGTCCAGGTGAAGCCAGAGGCCATGAGGGTCAGTGACTCAGAGGCTGGAGAACGTGGTGAGGGGGGAGAGGCATGATCCCTGGGCATTGGAAGAGGGACCTAGCCCACCAGTTAGTGGTGTCCTTCTTCCCTGGAGACCTGGGTCCTCCTTGGTCTGCAGATGCAGCTTCCAACAACTGGAAGATAAGAGCCAGGGGTGAGCCCCATGGGCCTGGGGTGCAGCTCCTGCCTCTGTCTGGAGACTGAGGGTGTGCAGGGGCCACTGGAGTTCTATGTCCAGAACCTCAGACCTTGCACTGACAGCAAATAGGGGCACAGCAGCTGGACTGGCAGCAGGAGGACCCACAGCCTGAGGAGCAGCAGGGCTTGCAGCAGCTGGACTGACAGCAACAGGGCTTGCAGCAGCTGGACTTGCAGCAGCTGG